GTTTTCAGTCCGTCTACTGGACATAAACACGAATGATTATGGAGCTTGACGAAGTGATGACGTTGTGTTTGTTCCTCCCTAATCTGTTGGAAGAGATGAGGTTGCGAAAGCAAACCGCAAAAAGCCGATGAAACTAAAGTCTGCAACACTAGAAACTTTTCATCGGAGGTCCAAGATTGAGTCGTCAACGGCAAAGTTCTAGAAGCCTTCGATCACGTACTTCTCTCGCGTCCCGTGATACGTTTTTTTTTATATTTTTAGCTTTTAATAGCATCCAATAAAATTTAGGAGAATTTTAAAGAGTTACGAATTTTTCTAAAATCCTATCAAATCTTGAAATATAATTATTAGGCTACAAATGTAGTCAAATAGTAGTAAATGGTTGAAAAAAAAAACTATTTCTACAATAGTTTGAATTGCAACAATTTTATTAGATGCATAACTAAAAAAATATCTACAAATTTTTATAATCGGTAGCATCTCTTCACATGTCTTCAACTATAGTCGTTCTCCAAACATTTGCGCTTTCTCGATCTTGCTCTTGTGTTCCATGAGACTCTTCTATATTAATTCGATGAGGGACATTCTCTGTATTCTGTCTAGTGTTTACTTCAACAGGGAATTCTCCTTCATCCGATCGACATTCTTTACGAAGAAAGTTATGCAATGCTGCACATGCTAAAACTATTCCATCTTATTCAGAGCCAATTATTTTTTTCAAGCGGGGTCGAGTGTCTTCAGAGGTTGACAAAATGCCTTCTTATTTCAAGCTACATGACAAATTGGTCTCAACAAGTCTCCATTATTTCAAACTCAAGTGAATCCAGAATCCGCTTATTTTTGATCAAATACATGTTCCAAGTGACGATATACCATCTTTCGCGATAAAGAAATGCTCAACGACATGGGTTAAACCCCCACTCCACCAAATCGACTTATCCAACACATTGATAAGAAACTTAGCTCGATTCACTTATTTCTTAAAGTTTTGGTTTTGGTTTAACAGTTGATTTAGTCTTTCATCACAAAAACTGATCAAACACTTAGTTTAAAGCTACATTTGATGTACAAATGATTTGGGGGTAGGGGGGGTTTAATAAAATTCATAAATTCAAATAAAAAGATAAAAAACCTGGGTTTTTAATGATATAAGACAAAAAAAGGTATTAGGCTGTGAATGGTAAAATGATAGAAGAGAATAAATTTTACTGGGCTCACACTAGAAAAGTAGAATTCAAAATAAAAATTTCTCCTAACAATTGTTGGGAGAAAACTTTATTCCCATAAAAAAAAGTTGTTTGATAACAAAAAAAATGATACTCTTTTATGTGGGTCCAAGAAAAAAATCAGATTTTTTTTGTTTTCTTTTTTATTGGTAAATGGTAGAAGAAAAATTTATGTTTTCTTTTATTTTCTTCTATAATAGTCTACCAATCACAGCCTTAGTATTTTATTTTATATTTTGGAAAACTAAAACTTTTGAAATCTCCTTTGTAAACGTGCTACTATATTATTAAACATCACTTTACCCGTTACCAACTAATTCCACACCTCCTAGTGTCCACGACCATATCATTTCCACTGTTGGTACGTTTATAATTTCTCAGGAAGATTCTTGTCTCACTGTTAGACCCGAAAATTAATTAATTATTGTCGTTGTACAAGAAAAGAGAGTTATTAGTCATTGTCTATATATGTGTATAAATACCCCACCCCCTTTGTTGTTCAACTCACTCACAAATCCATTCTTACAAGAGCAAAACAAACAACAGTCTCTCTTCTTTGCTTTCATAGCCTCTTTTAATCGATCATTAACATGGCGGCAAGGACAGCAACACCGGTGGTTCCATCGACTGGATCTATCCCGAAGCAAGATGAAGAGTGGCGTGCAATTTTGTCTCCTGAGCAATTTAGAATTCTCCGACAAAAGGGAACAGAGTACGCAACATCTTTCTAAATTTTGCTTTTTACTCCCACAACAATTTACAAAGATCGGTATTAGTTAGTCGAAAAACAGACCACCATAACATGTTGTTCATTTCGTTAACTCGCTCTTCCTTCCTTTCGGATTCGATTCTCCCCTATAACTTTTTCATTTTTGGTAATTTTTTCATGGTTTTTGTGCTTGATGGATATGAATAAGTCATGATTGTTTGTAATGGTTTTGATATATAGAAACCGAGGAAAAGGAGAGTATACAAAATTGTTCGACGAAGGAACCTATTCTTGTATTGGTTGTGCAACTCCTCTTTATAAGTCCACCACCAAGTTTGACTCTGGTTGTGGCTGGCCTGCCTTCTTCGATGCTATTCCCGGTGCCATTAAACAAACGGTACATAATAATTATCTATCATTTCTTACATCTTTTACATTATATATAGTAAGATTGTTTGATTTAACAAGTTTTATCATGTTTTTATGTATTTATTAGCCGGAGGCAGGTGGAAGAAGAATGGAAATCACTTGCGCAAAATGTGATGGACATTTAGGTCATGTTATCAAAGGAGAAGGTTTTCCCACGCCTACTGATGATCGTCATTGCGTCAACAGTGTTTCTCTCAAGTTTTCTACTCAAAAGACTGCCCAATAAATCGATATCCATACTGATTGTTTGGACCAGTTTCATCCCACTTACAAGATTCCGAAAAATCGAAGTCTACCTTGTTTGAGATTGTATATGTTATGTTCCTGGTCATGTATGATGCTCTTTTATGTTTCTAATTCACATGTAAACCTCATGTTTAATACAAGTCATAAATAAAATATATTTTGACATTTCCCGTCATAGCTATAGCAATATTAATTTAATAATTTAG